ATCGTTAGAATGTTAACATATGAAATAATTATTGGATTACAACGTTCAAGTGGTTGCAAATAGGAATGATGCGTCTTCGACCTAGTAAACGATCTCATTCATTTAAGTGCATCCAGCTAGATTCGATTCAATATACAGTCAAAATAACTCCAAATAAAAAAATTCAGAAAAATATTTCTAAGAGATTTGATAAAACACTTCGCAACATTTGCCATACAAAAAAATTATGAAAGAAAAAAGGAAAGTCATATTTTTGAAAAATTAGGCTAAAAAATAGTCAAGAAACTATATCACAAAAATCTCTTTGGTTTCACAAAAATCTTTTTCATATCTTTGAATCACTGAACAAGTTTCAACTAAGGCGAAAAACTTGGGTCATCCCTCATTAAGCTGGCCGCAATTAAATAGTAGTTATAGAAAAACTTCAAGCTTTAAAATTTATGAAAATTCGCCCTTGAAACTACACAACAAAATTATTAACCCATAACAAGTAAGCCGAACCCATTTACCGAAAAAAAAACTGAAAAAATATAAAAATCAGAGCGGTTAACTTAGAAATACAGAACGAGTTTCAGCACAGAGGCAAAGCTCTGCTTCACAAACACTAGCGACAACACGATAAAAAGCAGCTCAATCAAATGCAATACGAAAAGTAGAAATGAGCCTCGAATTAGTAAAAATTAGGCTACGGCTCGTATTCGATCTGTGACCTCGAGATTATGAGTCGCATACAATAACCAATCAGACGCATACGCTTCATAAATCACAAACACTAGCCGCAAGTAAAGCACAGATACTTGGGATTTTCCAATGCTTAAGATCGTGATTATAGCAAAAGTGCCACCAAATAAATAATAACTTTTATTAGCGAGTTAGCTTAGAAAAAAGAAAGTTCGTACTAATACACAACGTTTCGCGAATGCGATACTGTAAGTATGGTTAAAAATAGGGGCCCAGCTAAAGCTGGAGGTACATGTTTTATATTTTTATATCAACCTTATCTGATTTTCCACTGAAAATAAACGATTAGCCGCGAGTATAGGGGAGAAAACTGTTACCCTTTCTTACGAAAAAAACTGACACTGATCTTTATAGCTCTTTTAAAGGCCTTTGATTCGGTGGACAGGTCAGCACTGTTCAAGCCCTAATAAGTCGAAAAGTGGGAAACCCTCTGAGTCGCATCATTTGGCAGCTGCAAGAGCAGGCTGAAGGTGTTTTAGACAAGCAGAAGAAGTTCGTGCTTTAGAGAGGGAAGAGACAGAGGTGCCTAAGCGGCCCCACTCTCTTCAATTTAGTGTTTGACGAAGTGCGCAAGAAAGGTGTGAAAAGAGGCGGAGATCGGTCAACTTGCATATGCAGATGATTAAGTGATTATGTACGGCACAATTGCAGAGGCACAAGAAAGTAATGATGCTCTGAATCCGGAAGTCAAAATGCAGAGATGGAGATACCATTAAGTAAAACCGAGATGGTTGTAGTGAAAAGAGAAGGATCAAATGATATCAACCTTAATGGCGAAAAACTGAGGTAAAATCCTTGTTTTACCTGGGCAGCTCGCTAAATGCGGAAGGAGACATAGGCGAAGCAATAGCAAACAATTGCAGGAAAGCTAGAACAGCAATTGTAAGATTGATGCCAGCTCTAGTAAGTGGCTTAATCAGTATGAGAACGAAAGAGCGGTTAGTAAAGACTTTTAAGCCAATGCTACTACACGGGTTTGAAATTGCAGTCATCAGAAAAGTCGATGTTGGCTAACTAAATGCAGTTCTGAACAAGGCCAGGAGAATGATCCTCAAATTGGACAGCAAGAGGATATGCACTAACGTTCAAACTGCAGAGAAAGTTCAGTTGAAAAGCATTGAAGTAGAAATGGCTGTACGACGGTCAAACCTGTAGGTTTCACTCAAGACACTTCAAGTAGAAGCAGAAACATCACTCGCCCAAAGAAGCAAGGTGTACAGCAAAGACTGGATCAGGGCAGTAAAGGTGGACCTCGAAAGGCTAGTGGTGCTGGATACAGAAAAATGGCTAAAAGACCCAAAACCACTTAATTACAATCAGAAAGTGGATAAAATCTGCTGAAAGAAAAGATATGCAGAGACATCTCAGAAACGATCGTGATGCACAAGAACAGTCGGGTTTAGATACACTCGACACGGCACCTTTCAGCGCATTTGTACCAGAGGATCTAAAGTACGCAAAGGTTGCAAAATTCAATACAAGACACTCAGGTGGCTGAAAGCGAACATTCAGACAGCTCACCCGCAGTGCACTTTGACTTGCGAAGAACAATCTGAAACAATAGAACGAAAGTCACTAGATGAGGATGAACTAAAAGCAACTGCAGAGGAAGAAAAATACTCTGCAAATGACCCGACCATTCATCAGTGCCCGAAGTATCCAAGAATTTAAACAGTGCTGAAGAGCTTGCAAAACCATTGCTTCGAGAAGCAAGCGTGGTCATACAGTCTTCAGATGCCTGTACGGGGAAGAGAGACTGGAAGCTCTCGTGCTCAAAATCCTTTCACCCGAGATCGACCCTAATCGGGAGACTTAGCACTCTATCAAGGGGAGGGGCACCCTTTCCTACAATTGAAAATGAAACGAAATTGAGCAGGGTAGTGGAACTTTCGCGCAAGATAGTCTTTTTATCCAACCCGTGACTCCAAAGCCGATTTTACCAGGAAGATTCACAAAATCAGCTTTTCTATATAAATCTAAAACTCAGATTTCTCAGGGCATTTTTCGAAAATAATTAAAACACTTGCAAAATTTGGAAAACGAATTAAGTTCCAGAAATGGAAGCTTCCAAGGAAATAACGTTCTTTTCTTTCGCAAAGAAGGATTTCGGCGTTTCTGCTGGAAAAATGTTCAAAACGGTTAATTGGATTCACCAAATCCTTAATCTCATATTTGGTAGGTTATTTTTTAATAGATCTAAAGGTCGGAAAAATAATTAAATATAATTTTTCCGAGTGCTATAGCCTTTCTTTTACAAAAAACGGGGTCCTTCAGCTGATGCGCCAAAGAAAGCCACAAAATGTTTTTCATATGAACCAATAATCTGAGAACTAGCAGGGTAGATTTCAAGCAAAGTCAAAGTTAAAAAACCACGGTCAAAGTTCAAAATTTAGGGTTATCGCTTTGTGCATGGAGCTTTCTACATCCGATTGAAAAATAAACCTGAGGTTTAGTAAGGTAATTTTGAAAAACCTCAAAAAAAAATTTCGAAACGGCCAAAAAATTACATATTAGACTTTGCCGCGGGCCATAACATCGTGTAAAAAAAAAAATCGGCGAAGCCGCATATGCAAGGGAACTTCACAGAACCTGTGCTTTCGATAGAACCTAAAATCTCTGATTTGGTTGAGTTAATTTCAAGACAAGTAAAAAAAACACACATTCCCACAGCCTGCAATGTCAATTGAACTCAAAATCTTAGAAATGGGTCGAACGTTTTCGAGAAAATGAAAAAAAAATGGTTTTGAAATACCTCCCACATAATTTTTCGAGAGCTGTAGAAAATAGGGCAGGTGGAAGGAGACTAAGGGACTGTGCAGTCAGACAGGGTAGTGTAATTTCTTTCTATTGGAACCACTTTTTCTAAAATCGGTAGGATAGTTTTGAGAAAGCTAAAAAAACAGTAGTCGAAACACACTCGAAGACGGTTCGCTTAAAATTAGCCTTTTACCGCGATAATCTAATATTGAGCTGACAAGAATTTCCTTAGTTCGCATTCAATCACAAACTTACAGGCACTTGAGATATACAGTTAGAGGCATGTTTTGCTGATTATTATAAAAAAAAACTCCAATGACTGAAGTTTTTTGTAAACTTGTTACACTTTTCATATTAGGATTTAACATGTTTTGTTTTATTGTAATTTTTCAAAGGCTGTAGAAAAAGCGTAAGGTAGAAAAAGACTAAAGGACTATGCAGACAGACAGGGCAGTGGGATTTCTTTCTATTGGAACCACTTTTTCTAAGTCGGTACGGTACGGTGATTTTGAGAAAAACTAAAAAATTTGCGAGAAAAAAAGTTTGCGACAAATCGTCTAAAAAAAATAAAAAAGCAAATCCCATACATATTCATAAAATCTGTTTTAATCAAACAGGAACTATTCGAATCAAGCAGGAACTGTTCGAATCAAAAATCAAAAAAAAACTTAAGCTTTGGAAAGAAAAGCTTTCGAGTTTCAAAGAAAAAATAGATGCCCTTTAAGCTCTTTGAAATTCAAGAAAATTTTATGATTGCCATTTTTCTGATAACACTAACCCAACTTGGGAAAACTGGATCAATAGGTTGAGTTTTTATTCCTCTGAAAATCTAAAAAGTTAATTCCACTTTCGAAACTAAAAATCGTTCACGTTTTTTTTTGCGCCATTTTCACGTTCGTATTTGGAGAGTGCTAATTACGTAACTTTCAGCAGATGAATTTAAATTGAATTTAAAAAGAGCATATATACCTAAGTGCATCAATACCAGTGTGAACAAATTATAATTTTTCTTCAAAAAAAACAAAAACACAAATCTGCAAGACCTATATAAGAGTCTTCACTACGTTTTTCACTCTTAAAAACAAAAACTAAGTACTACCTCAACTGAACTATGAAGTAGTTTTATTTGAATTTTAAAGATATTGAGCATGTCAGCATGAATTGAAGTGTAAGAAACTAAAGTGCAATTGAGAGAAATTTGTAGGAAACGTTGTTTACGGGAAAAAGTCTAGTTGCTCTCGCGAAAGAAATTAGACTTGTTTTCTTTTTCAGGAACTTTAGAAATATTTAAAATAACCAGATTGTCCTGAAAACTAATTATATTTATAAAAACACAAAATCAAATGAATCAACATCAGATATTCTAACAATGCAACAAAAGCAAGCAGCTACAAAAAAAACATTCACAACAAATTACACGAATTAAACAATGATAACTTAAATTGCATTGAAAACTGAGACGTTTTATTAAAACTAATTAACAGAAAATGTTAAAAACTCACCAGCTTCGTAATATGAACAGCGCAATATCCTCTGTACGCGACATTAGAGCTACTGTTACTCTCATTATTTTCTCCGTTCGCATTTCCTGGAGTCAGACTGTTGTTGTTGTTGTTTACAAACTCCTCGAATAGGAAGCCTTTTTCCTGGGCACAGGTCACGTGAAATGCAGATTTACATCCCACTTTGGCACATGACATACACGCACCTATGGGTGAAATGTTACAATAGGTGGTTTAATAAAATGGTACAATCATTTGTATTTTACAATACCTGTACTTTTTGAAACATAGCCAACAGACATTTGAAAAAGAACCAATGAACACAAGTAAACAGAAAACAGAAAAAAAATGATTTCTAGGATTGACACTTTTTGAGACAATTAACCCAATTTGAGAAAACGATCAATAAGTAAAAGTGAAAATTAAATTCTGAAAACTAAACTCTTTTACACTTTGGCTTTTACACTTTTGCTGTTCGATAGTGAAATTTGCCTTCCTTTTAACAAAAAAATGAACAGGACATAACTAGAAACAAATAGTCATTCAGCGCAGAAGCCTGAGCAAATTTTAAAACAGTTCCTGAAAAACCAAAAAAAAAAATAACGCCAACTATAAACCACCTATTATAACATATCACCGCACCTTGGCCTGCTAAATGATTCTGTTGTCTCTCTGTGCATATCGAACACGTCTGTTTGAATCTTTCTTTTGGGACATTTGTTACTATGATTGGCTCCAAAGCAGCCATATCTCCAAAACTGACTTCTTGGATGTACAGGGCACAGACTACGTGGGCCCAACCTGGAAAAAAAAAACAAATTGTTTACTTTATAAACGCCGGGAAATCTGAAATTAAACCAAAGAAGCATAAAAGATTTGCTACGAAAAAAAAGAGATAAAACATAAGGCAAAAACATTAACACACAGAGGCGAAGCAGAGCTTCGCGCCACTTGCGATACAACACAAACATGAAAGACAAAAAACCGGAAAAAATGAAAATATAATCTTATGAGAATATAAAAAAATGAGAATATAGTCATATAATCTTTCATATGTCTCGATAGAAGTTCATTTCAGGCAAACATGCCAGCATTTGAACTTTAAATCCGCAACAATGGAACAAATTTTACGAAAAGAAATAAAGCCGGAACAATCTTTGAGCAGACAAGTTGAGCCTAAAAAAATTATCTTATAAAAAATTAAGTCTACAGTCCCACCTTAGACAAATGGAAAACACTTCAACTTGCAACTACAATGAAAGTTATTTACAGCAAAAAAACACTGATGTGGTAACTACGCCAACAACCTTTGATCTGAAACCAACTGAACCAAAATTTTTTTTTTTAATTTTTCAAGTTCCATTGAAACTAGAATGAACAGCACTTGCATATGAGAACGTTAAAAAAATTTGCATGCAGTGAAAAAAGTTAGTGATGAGGGAACTAAGCCGACAATCTTCGAGCAGATATCAACTGAAACGAAAAAAAAAGATTTTATGAATTTTTTTAAAAATCTTTCAAGTCCTGAACTTAGAATGAACAACTTGCAACTATAATGAAAATTGTCTACAGCACAAACCAAATCCGTTGTTAAATTTGAATTTTCGAGAAATTGAGCATGTCAGTCAGTTGCATAGTCAGCTGCACAATCAGCAAGTGATTCAACTGATTTTGTCAAACTAGTTGTTAACTAGAAAAAAACTATATATTCCAGGTTTCATTCCCTTAAAGCTCTTTGAATTTCAAGAACATTCATGACTGGCACTTTTTCTTTAAAAATAAAACAAATTGAGAAAACTTGATCAATTGTAAAAAAAATTTTATTCGCCGAGAAATCTGAAATTAAAATCCAATTTCGAAAAACTAGAGGTCGATCACGTTTTTCGTGACCTTTTAACTTGGCTGTTTGATAGTGAAGTTTGACTTCCTTTTAACAAAGGAAATGACCTGAGCTTAAAAAGAAATCGAAGCTCAAGCCGCGAAAATAGTAAATTTGTGCCTGAACGAACTTTAAGACTTTTCCTGAAAAAAAAAATAAAAAAGATCATCGCTGCCTATACAAGGCAACTTCCCAAATAACATAACTCCCAAATGGCATAATTAGGAAACTTTTCCCATATGACATAATTCATTGTAATTCAAACGGTTTCTAACGATCTCGAATTCTAACAATTTGTCAGGAACGAAAATATGTGAAGAAAAATTAGAATTAATAGCTTCCAAACAAATGGTAAGCGACAGTTGACCACAAGAAGCTTATCATTAACCACAAGCTTATGCTTTTTGCTTTTGATAAAAAACTCTACAATTTTTTCAAGATAAATATCAATCAGCAATTGAAGTGACAACTTGACCCTGTTCGCACATCACGAAAAGTTTATTTCGATTTTTTAAATGCAACTGTTGCATGAAATTTACACCATTTGGGAATTTTTTCGATTTTATGCCATTTGAGAATTATGCCATTTAAGATGTAATCATATATAAGAGTCTGTCCGACGAACAACGACTCTTAAAACTCTAACTCGCTTTATACTAGCAAAGCACGCCGTAGTTTCTTTCTAAAAACGGAAAATTGCATAAAAACTCGTCTGCTAAATTTTAGCCCGGTCCAACGGGTTTGAAAAAAGTCATATTTCCGTATCTCTAAAAGAGTATAGCTGCTTTTCATTACGTCTTTGGAGCAGTTCAAAAATTGTTCTCAATTCCTGTATTTTTTAATCTTCTAAAAGTAAAGGTAGGATGATTGTGTTCCTAAATTTACACCTTTGAGCAACAAACACGTGACATACTATTTCATCTTTACCCCTCAATTCGGGGACTATCTCTTTTTCCATCTTTCTGTATATTCATTTCTCTACTTAGTTAATCCTACCGAAAAAAGTAGAGTAAATAAACCAGCCGAATTAAAAACCAACCGAACATGCGCAGAGTATAAAAACCTGACAATTTACGAAAAAAAAGTATACAACCCAGACGAAAGTTACGTCATATGAGCGAAATTTGCCTGACTTATAACTGCTAGAATTATTGCATAATTATTATATTACAGTTTCATATTTTCTGCTAGTTTATATGGTAGCTGGTTTATATTTCGGCTGTATTAGAAACCACCAAAAAACTACATGCACTTATTGAACGCCGTCAGCAAAATAAAAAAAAAGCAACGCAGACCATTTTAATTGCACTAAACAAAAATTGCGAAAAAAAAACTTTTCCTTTTTATTTCCAGCATTGCGCCAACATATGATATGTTAAGCTTACAGCAGTCGTCTAGCTCAAATGTGCCGCTTTTTCAATATAAACACTACTTAGTTTCTATGGCTGTTCTCTGATAACCAAACAAATTACTTTTAGCTTTAACATCTAATAATCCATGGAAAACGGAAACTTGTTTTTTTTCTGCTTCCATATATTTCAATAACTTGACATGTTCTGTAGTCAGTTGTTAATTGCCTTGAAATTGCGGAAATGTTTGTAAAACGCCAAAACAATTTATATAGACAGAAATTTCTCTAAAAGCCGACTAAAATCTACTTTTATTTGCGTTTAGCAGAAAAAAAGGCGCCATATATCAAACAGAACTGCTTTTTCACAGCTACAAAATCACGAACAACAAGTTGCACCAGTAAAAAAATTTGCACCAGTAAAACCAGTGTAAATTTTCTCCGCTTATGACACGTTTTGAGAGGTAGAAAAAAAAAGATAACACACATTGAAATATGATACGAAAGCGGTTCTTCATTATAATTGACTAGAAGCCCCTAGATTTTTTTGCGAACAAAGAATGAGTGAATTGGTAAAAAATAAGCTTTTCCGAAGCTTCTTAAATTTAATTGCATTTTTTATCGTTCAGTTAGAAATTCAAATGTATATACTGACTAGTAGTAAAAATCAAAAATGTTAAAAATACTTTAAACGTAGATACTAAGTGAATGAAAAAATAAGATTTCTTTGAAAAAACAGAGTCCATTATTCATTAGAAACCCACTAAATTGGGCCAATAACTTACTAAACATTAAACCTTAAGCTAAACTGACAAAAATTTAGACTGACCTTTTTATAACCACCATTTTTAGCTATGAATGAATTTAAGATGCTGAGATGATTGCGAAAAAAAACTTCCAAAAAAAAGTTTTGTACCTCAAACAACAGCACAACTTGAACTCACCTCCTGTGTCTGTTGGTTTCAGAGCTCCCTCTCTGTAAGGGCAGAGACAGCATTTCTGAAGCACAAATAACACTGTTGAAACATTATTAATTTGGTGAATACTCTTCATTATACTCATTTCACGCAACAAAAACGGACACCAAAATTTTTCCACGTTTTTCGTTTAAATCAATTACGCAGTCATGGGAAGATGACACGCTATACTCTATTGGAGAAAAAAAAGTAAGGCATAATGTCAACAGATAACCTTCGATTTCGAGTGTTTCCGAGAAAACTTGCAATCGAGAACTTTTTTTCATTCTTTTTGCCTGATTAAACAGCAAAAAGTATACACAGGGGTTACCGATTGCTGTGCAAGTAGCACTAAACCGTCATACCACAATGATAATTCCAGCAACTCAAAAAGAAAAAAAACTAGATACTAAAAAAATCGAAATTATCATTTTTGTGTGTCACTCGCACATTTCGTGTCATTTAGTCTAAAACCGAAAAAAAAAACAGAAAATTTTTCACGACAGCGAGTCAAATTCTTAATCACACCACACTTGATCACCTAGGAGCTTGAGTTGACAAAAACTTGACGAAATTAAAAACAGGCTGCTCAATAGATCCTTCCTACGGACATTAGGTTTTCAATTTTTCGGATTTAGGATTTTTAGTTTTTCGGACATGGCTGTAGGATGTTTTAAAAAGCTGCAGTAGAATTTTCGATGCACAAAAAAATCACATTCTCTAAAAATTGAAGCAAAATTAATCAATTTATTGCGTTTACTTAAAACTAGCGTGCAACACAACTCCGGCGCTTCTAACAGATAATTGAACATGAAAATTGCTTTACTAAAAAAATAAGAAAACAACAAAATGTATGCAACCGTAACAATAGACGGGAACGTTTTTATTTCAAAAATTAGACGATAAAATTAATATCAACTCAAAAGTTCTTTTTAAATTGCAATGGTCAAATCCTCAATACTACTGGGTTTCAGATTTCTGTATTTTAACGCCGACAAAAAGCCCTAAAATGGCCGACAGCATAGAACTGCACTTTCCATATTTAAAAAAAAAACTTTTGGAACAATTTCACTTGCAAAATTAGTCAATTCATAAATGAGATTCATGGTTTTGCTTAGTTTTTTTATCAATATTCCTTATGTATATCAATTGCTGCCATCCAACGTTTAATCCAGTGCATGTAATTTAGAAAAACCGACTCTTAGTTAAATTCTTTTTAAAAAAATTCTTGAAATATAATGAAAAAAACGTGAAATTTGAAAGCTTCAAAAAAATTGAGCCATTAAATTAGGATGAAGGTTACGTCAGCAACTAAATGAAATAGGCTGACAGCACCCCATTAAATGATCGACAATTTCAAATTTCTCATCATTCCGAATTTTGAGAAGTTTATTAATAATCGGATTTCTATCGTTCAGTTAGAAATTTAAATGTATAAACTGACTAGTAGTAAAAATCAAAACTGGTAAAAAATACTTTAAACGTAGATACTATTTGAATGAACAATTAAGATTTTTTTGAAAACAAACAGAGTCCATTATTCATTAGAAACCCACTAAAATGAGCCAATAACTTACTAAACATTACAGCTTAAGCTTGGCTGACAAAAATTTAGACTGACCGTTTTATAACCACCATTTTTAGCTACGAATCAATTTAAGATGCTGAGATGGTTGCGAAAAAACTTCCAAACAAAATTTTATACCTCAAATAACCGTACAACTTGAACTCAACTCCTGTGTCTGTTGGACATAACCGACTCTTAGTTTAATTCTTTTTACGAAAATTCTTCAAATATGATGAAAAACGTGAAACTTGAAAGCTTCAAAAAAATTGTGCCATTAAATTAGGATGAAAGTTACGTCTGCAACTAATTGGAATAAGCTGACAGTACTCCATTAAATGCTCGACAATTTCAAACTTCTCATTCCGAATTTTGAGAAGTTTATTAATTATAGAATTTCATGAAAATTTCGCAAAAAAAAACATGAAAAACGTCATATCTCGGAAATTAAAAGCATTTGAGTAACCAAAATCGGAGACAAACTTTGCAACCCCTGAGAGTACTCTCCGAGTACCTAAAAACATGGTTGGACACTTCAAATTCTGTTTAGTATATTAAATGATTTAGAAAAAAAACGTCGGAACATTTGGAGGTAAATTTTGCAAACCCTAAGATTACCCTGACAATACCCAACTAAAGGGCTGTGAAAATCAAACTTAGTGGAGTTTTTTAAATCTACGTTTTCTGAAAAGTTCGAAAAAAAAATCATAAAAAACGTCATATCTCGGAAACTAAAAGCACTCGCGCATTCACATTTGGAGGCAAGACATGCGACCCATGAGAGTACCCTGAGTCTCATTTCGAAAAGAAAAGGATTCGCAGACAATATTGCGACCCCTGGGAGAAAACTTACAACATCTCACTATCAACTAGTTACTATATACTAGGTGAAATAAACACTGTGTTCAAACTGGAAAAGCGAAAAAATTCTTTACCATTGCAATATACGATATAGCTTAAATTGAAAAAACTTTTTCGTTTAACATGCCCGAATGATAAGTTGAAAAAGCTTTTAATTGGTCAGACAGTGAAGCCCGCATTTAAATATATACTAGAAAAGAAGTTAAAACATGGTCTTGAATTTTCTTCTGGTACCTCCTTTGGTACATTTTCATGAGAGCCATTTCTGGCTGACCAACCCGGAAACATTTGTTAAGCACCCTTTGACACCAAAATCAATTGATTTCTAGGCAGGAGCGCGCGCTAGAAGAAACGCCTCCTAAAACGGCCTTTATGTACCATCACTTTAAATTACTCAAACAAACTATAGCTGCGAAAAGTTTTTTCAGTTGAGCTCAATTTGTCTGGTATGATGTCCATTTTTGGGAAAACATTTGAAGCTACAATGTAAAAACAACCCATTTTGACCAGTTTTTATCGCATGACTCAATTCAAACGGCAAAAAAATTAATCGGAGATATTGAAATCCTCTCATTAGATAAACAAAAATCGCAAAATTTTTATTAGGAATATAGCATTAAGTACATTTTCACTTAATTTCACCGTTTGATTAATTTTGGACACCATTTCTCGAAATTTCATATGCTCGTCAAATCAAACAAGATGAGGTCATTCATATGATAATATTATTGGCGACAACTTTTTAAGCCAAAAAAAAAGAAGCCGAAAAAAATTCAAAAACAATTTAGAGCCAAAAAAATGTATTAAGTCCCCCTCAATCTCAAAAATACACACGTACACTTCAGATAAAATTTTAACCAAAACCTACCAAGCAGAAAGAAAGAACAGCAAAAAAACAGCCGAAAAAAATTGTTGTTATGAGAAAAATTGAACTATAACTTCCATTAAGAATCTTAGCATTTTGTGCATTCATTAGCTCAAATTAAAATTTGTAGCTCAAAATCAGGTCACTATGACGATAAAAGATAAGCCGAAATCATTTGGGCAGCATAAAGCTTTTGAGCGAAAAAAACAACAAAAAAGAAAATATACGAAGTCAAGGTTACTAAAACTACAAACAGCGCAAGTAAATTGCGAACACTAAATGCAACTACTGTAAATTGCGAACAGCAAAAACTCAGTTTGTCTCGAATGGTGTTCACTTCGGGGAATACACTTCAAAAACCACAATTACTAGCTAGAATAAACATTGAAACGCAAAATACGAGGTCAATAATATTTGGCACATATGTTCAGCCAAACAATGTCATTAAAAATTTGCCTTAAATAAAAATTTGCCTTAAACTTTTGAGTCTCCTCGAGCTTATATACGCATGGAAAACTTTAATTCCCCTTTCAAATGACGTAAAATCAGGTCATTAAACAGATATATTATATGTCATAGCCGTTCAAGCCGAATAAAGCTTCTATATAAATAAAGAGTTGTTAAATTTACAAACAAAAAACTAATTTCGAAAAGATTGGGTATTTTGAATATATACATTTTCACAATAACTCTGTTGGTTGACGAAATATCAGACTTAAGAAAACAGATGAGAAAACAATTCAGTGATTTTTAAACAAGTTGTTTACATACAAAAAGCTACACTGAAGAAAAAAATAAACAACTCAGCAATTAGAAAAACGCTTTTATAAACTTAATTGATTGATGTAATTACGATCTTAGTTTTTTCTCAGATGATATTCGCCCAATTTAGAAATAGGTCACTTAAAATTTGATTGTCTGATACTGATATTGGTGAAACCAATTTTTTTTTCCAGAAAATTGCAAATATGGGGAAAATAATCTAAACTTTCATGCACAAACTGTATAACTTGAATAACAAATTTCAAATTTAATAAATTTCACATCTGGTGTTCAAATTTTCAAACTTTGGTATTTAAAATGCGATCAAACATTTTTTTTTGTTTAAAAAAACTGGTGTTTTCACAGGCAGAGAACCAAGTTTCCGAAAGAAAAACTAAAACGGTCCCATAAATTTTTTTTCTTTCTAAAGTATATTGGTCGTACGGTAGGACAGTTGAGAGGCTTTTAATTTAAAAACGCTGGCTAATCACATGCGCAATTACCAATGCCTTTTCGTCTTTTGCGGTGTTGCTAAATGTAATGGTTAATTAGGCATTATTCGACATTAAGTGACTTCAAAATATGTCAATGAGTTCGTCAATATGTATCAAACTTAAGTAAAGCTTAAAACTTGGGAGAATGAATCTGATCCGCTTGTCCCTGGGCCATTTTATTTTACACATTTGTAAAAATCGCATAAAAAACCATTTCGTTTTTTAATGAACAGAGTGGTTCCATTAAACGCATCAATTTCATTTTAACAAAAATTTTGGACACTTTTTAAGATCGGTTGACAGCAAAGTAAATTTGTCAAACATTAACAAAACTTTCGATCCAAAGTATTTCCTGTATCTTTTGATTAAAAATGTGGTGACCATGGCTTTCTTCAAATCTCAATCTCAGCGATCGCATTTCTAAAAATCAAACGGCGACCCCCAAAAAAGATCTTTTCTGTCAATTTTAGTTTTTTTTCGCGCTCGTTAAATCAAGTTCACTTTTCGTTTTCAAACAAACCGATTAAAACTTTTATCATTAAGGATAATGATCGTCTCCCAGAAACGTTTTTGTCGTGATTTAGGATGCAAGCTACCAGTAAAATTAATAAAACTGAACTCACCTTGTAAATGTCTTTCTTCATAATCAGTCAATCAATTGGAGCAAGTTTGCATTGAATATTCGGCAGAAATCGTAAATGAAAAGTTGATTTGACTCAACGTGGAAAGAAAGTCATCAAAGTCTTGATCAACTCAATTTCTTTCTTGCATTCAAATAAAGCATGGAGCAAATTTTGATCACTTCTAGAATATGTATGAACTAATTTGACGTCAAATTAAAACATGCTTTTCTATTCATGAAAGCAAAATGTTCAGTTTTACTTCAAAATCTGTTCAACCAACTTCAATTTAAAAGATCGACGGAATTTCTTACGAAAGTCTTCAAAGTGTAAATGCAACACTTATGTTAGACAGACAGTTATACTATAAATTGTTGTAAAATGTAGATAACAAATACAGTCGAAATAACTGTTAGAAAAGGAATAAGGAAGGTAAAAGGAAATAATAATAAGTTCTCGAACGAATAAAGGAGTAAATTGTCTGGGGATTCCGCAGCAGTTGCCTACTACAGCATAAAGCGGAAGGTCTGCAAATAACACAATGTTAGGAAATTCTGCGTTCTTTACGTTGTAATATAAAACAATTTTGTCTTGATCCAATTCCAATATGAATTACATTTCTGTAGCTCAACTTTCATTTAAATACAGGATTTGAGCTCGAAAGAATTCTGTAAACAAATTGAAACAAACACGAAAGTAATGACCAGAAGTTTTAATGGAAATAGGTAAAAAAAACAAAACCAGGAATCAAGGAGCCTGGATTTTCTTGGGAAATGTTTAATGAAAGCTAAAAACTCGGAATAGAGAGTTCAAAATGAATTGAAATCAGGGTTTGCGGTCACCTCGAATATTTGATATTTGTTTCAATATTTAACAATTCTATGGATATTCAAACTCCAATGAGTAAAATATAGTAGTAAAACTAGCGTATGAATTCAAACAAGCTTTGCGTTTGTCTAAATGTTAATGTTGCCGATACATTTACGAAATTCAAGTAAAGCAACGAAAATATTTCAGTTTCACTAAGTTCAGATCCAAGCCATTTAACAATACCAACTTAGAGCTCACGATTAAATTTTGCCGTACAATTTAGAATTCACGTCGTGGAATAAGTAATCGCAGAATTTAGCAAAGAAAGAAAATGGTTAACCGTCAGTGGATAAATACTACAAACCGTTCGTTGTTTTAAACAATCAGTCTATTTTTGTTCATATTGTACTCACGTAAAAACATTCGCTAGCAATAACGAAGAGTTGTATGTAAATTCTTGGTAACAGCTGAAAAAAAAAAGAAAAATTAAAACTCAAAACATTCGACTCAGTATGCTGCACAATTTGGTTCTTGTTTTACAGTACAATTTAGTCTCAAACTTCAATGCATTTACAACAACATATATGAAAATATGTATAACACAACGCACGTAATTTAACATTTTAGAGCCCAAAACACACTACAATTCACGTGCGTTAAAAACGCGCGACTTTTTTTTCATTTCTTAAATAGTAAAACTGAATATAACTCCGTTGCAACGAGAACGCACAAGTACAATAAGTGTATAGAATTGAAAAAGCAAGCACGACATGCAAGGATGGCACAAAATGAAATTCTAATTTAGCTGAAGGATTTATTTTTACTTTACTTACGTTGCTCCAATTCCCTTCTTTTACCTATACACTGATGAATTCTCATCCACGTTTGCAGAAAAAAGCAAATCACTTTTTATAGAAATAGAGATCAGTGAATAAGGTGGAAGGAAATACTATGGAGTGCGGTCAAAATTTAGACAACCTTTATTTCATACCGGTTAAAAAGTAGACAATCTTATAATATCATCCTATAAGAATCGAGAACAGAAAGCAAACTTAACAAATAAATAATCAAAAAAATATTCATTACCTAAGTTTGCTCCCTGTTCCCGATTCTGATTGGTTGATATAGTAGTTGTCGACTTTATAAGGTGTCTACTTTATGAGTTGTCTTCTTTTTGCTTCGTAACCAAATACTATTACATGTATACAATCCCATGCCGCGTACATCTTCGCTTCTGACTTGACCAACCATTTTACCTTTATTTCCATAACCAGCGAAGAGCACAAGCACTTTTTTGTTTTCTCTGTTTTGTTCGAAGGGATATGCATTGCTAGACCGGATATAGCTGTTCATAGGTAGCAAGCTAATACTATTTTAAGGTATAAGGTGAGCATCGCCAAAATACGGTTGCAAAAATGTTAAAGAACAAGGGCACGAAAAAGTAAAAAGGGATATTTTTGAACACTTTAACTTTCAAATTTCGAAGAACAAATATCTCGTTAGAGCTCTTAGAATAAAGATATCACGTTAAGAAACATTGTTTTATTGGCCTTTTAAACAATATCACAATTACAGAAAACTGGTACAATTGATTTTTTATTCTGCTGGAAATTCAGAGCATAGCCAATCGAAGATAGGCTATGCTCCGAATTTCCAGCAGAATAAAAAATCAATCGAAGATTGGAAAAAAGTAATGAATGCAAGTAAACATAAAAAAACACTGACTTTCTTGAAAAAAAATCTCAACTAAGGAAATTTCTAAGAAAAAAAATAGATGCCTTTTATGCTCTTTGAACTTCTAGAACAATTTATAATTGGCGCTTTTTTTGATAACATGAACCCAACTTGAGAAAACTGGATCAAAAGCTAAAGTATTAATTCCGATGGGAAACCTTTAAAATAATTTCCAATTTCGAAGCTAGAAATCGTTCACCTTTTGTCGCGCCATTTCCACGTTCGTATGTAACAGTCGCTTATTTAAGTCACATATGAGGTTAAAGAAAAATAGGCCCTATATCCATTGGCTCAAGAGTCAGGGACACTATCTCTTGTGTTTTTCTAACTCGAACGGTCGGAGCCAATTCGGTTCACTTGCGACATGAGACTAAAACCCTCGTTACAGCTTAAAGGCCACTACCAAAATACCCCCCCAACTCTAGAAAATAAGAACGTCCATTACTTAGGTCTCTTAAAAACCCAAAATATGCGAACGCCGTTAAAAACAGGGTCGCAATATTCCGTAAAGTTACTTTTTATTAGACAGTGGAACTTTGATACCAGCACACTCGAGAATTGGAGTAACTAAGTTAATCAGCAACTCTAGCATTAAAGGTAATTAATTTCTAACTCAAGAAGTTTGCAATTAACGAATTCCAGCAAAGGAAATGAGTTTTAACTTGAGAATTAATGTGACATTCGACCAGAATGAACGAAAATTGTGACATTCGACCAGAATGAACGAAAATTGTGACATTCGACCAGAATGGACAAAACTGCAGATTTGGTGAATTCAAAAATTTAGCAGCTACCCTTTCGAATTGACGGTTTTAAGAGATTAACAACGTTATTGGGACGAATAGTCAAACGGTGAAGGTCAAGATATTCTGGTATTTTGAAATTTTAGAAACTCGAAGTGATGACGTAATAATTCTGAGAAATGTAACATTCGCCCGGAAGATACATATCGACGGAAAACAAAACTAAGTCTTAAGACGACTGGCTAACGTCTAAACAAAGCTTTGCATGTTTTCACCGTCTCTACCAAGCCAGTACTTTTGGTGGTTTCTTTCTAACATCGGGTCGACAAAAACGATTCTGTTCTCCGGCTTCGACCAGAACGCTCAAATTAACTAGATTACATGCAGAATTAGTGAGCTCATGGCTGGGTCTCAGTATCCCCAGACCACGAGGTCACTCCTAAAAACAGGGCTATTACTATTTATTGAATTATTGTTTTTGTTCAGTAGATAAAAATCATCATCTCGATCGAAGATGGATCAACCCTTCCCCCCCCCAACTCCTAGCTTCTCATCCTTGTCAAAACGAATTTAGATCTCAATTAAATTCAAGTCAGGACATGACAGGATGCTAAAAGTCTATACCAGTTAATAAAAGTTCCAGTCCCGAGGCCCTTCCGGATTCTTGAATCCGCCGAATCAAGCTCCTTAAGTTCTATTTCACGATAACTCGGAGGGCTGGTTTTCACCCTTCACCGTTGTTCGCAACGGCCTTGCAACTATTGTAACAGTACAATAGTTGCAACTCGGAACGCTTTCTGCTGTTCTGTAGTTCGTTGTCGTTTTCTTATCTCGATTTTCGTCGTTATCGTCAACGCAACTAATGTTGTTGTGTTTTCTTTTCGCTTTTTTAGCTAAAATGGCCGTTTCTGACGTTTCTCAGAAATATGACGTCATCATTCGAATTTTTGAAATTTTAAAATACCAGAATATTCCGGCCCTCACCGTTACTATATACTAGGTGAAATAAACACTGTGTTCAAACTGGAAAAGCGAAAAAATTCTTTACCATTGCAATATACGATATAGCTTAAATTGAAAAAACTTTTTCGTTTAACATGCCCGAATGATAAGTTGAAAAAAGCTTTTAATTGGTCAGACAGTGAAGCCCGCATTTAAATATATACTAGAAAAGAAGTTAAAACATGGTCTTGAATTTTCTTCTGGTACCTCCTTTGGTACATTTTCATGAGAGCCATTTCTGGCTGACCAACCCGGAAACATTTGTTAAGCACCCTTTGACACCAAAATCAATTGATTTCTAGGCAGGAGCGCGCGCTAGAAGAAACGCCTCCTAAAACGGCCTTTATGTACCATCACTTTAAATTACTCAAACAAACTATAGCTGCGAAAAGTTTTTTCAGTTGAGCTCAATTTGTCTGGTATGATGTCCATTTTTGGGAAAACATTTGAAGCTACAATGTAAAAACAACCCATTTTGACCAGTTTTTATCGCATGACTCAATTCAAACGGCAAAAAAAATTAATCGGAGATATTGAACTCCTCTCATTAGATAAACAAAATTCGCAAAATTTTTATTAGGAATATAGCATTAAGTACATTTTTACTTAATTTCACCGTTTGATTAATTTTGGACACCATTTCACAAAATTTCATATGCTCGTCAAATCAAACAAGATGAGGTCATTCATATGATAATGTTATTGGCGGCAACTTTTTAAGCCAAAAAAAAGAAGCCGAAAAAAATTCAAAAACAATTTAGAGCCAAAAAAATGTATTAAGTCCCCCTCAATCTCAAAAATACACACGTACACTTCAGATAAAATTTTAACCAAAACCTACCAAGCAGAAAGAAAGAACAGCAAAAAAACAGCCGAAAAAAATTGTTGTTATGAGAAAAATTGAACTATAACTTCCATTAAGAATCTTAGCATTTTGTGCATTTATTAGCTCAAATTAAAATTTGTAGCTCAAAATCAGGTCACTATGACGATAAAAGATACGCCGAAATCATTTGGGCAGCATAAAGCTTTTGAGCGAAAAAAAACAACAAAAAAGAAAATATAAGAAGTCAAGGTTACTAAAACTACAAACAGCACAAGTAAATTGCGAACACTAAATGCAGC